AGGGGAGGGGAAACTTAATTGTTAAAAATAAATAAAATAAAGTTCACTCTCCTGTCAATGGACAGTTGTTTCTATATCTTGTCTGTTGTAAATAATACTTCATTGAACACGGAAGTATATATATCTTCTGGGGGTATTTATTTTGTTTCCTTTGGTTGTATATCCAGCATTAGAATTGTTGAGTCATATGGTAGCTCTATTTTAATTTTTTGCTAGGCACTTCCATATTGTTTTCTGTAATAGCTGTATTAATTTACATTTTTACCAACAGTGTACAAGGCTCCCCTTTCCTCCACCTATTCTTGTTACCTTTTCACTTTTTTTTATTATCACAGTGGTGATACCCCACTATAGTCTTAATTTTATCAGTGATGTTGAACATTTTTCATATACCTATTGGCCATTTGTCTCCTTTTGAGAAATTTCTACTCAGGTTCTTCGCCCATTTTTAAATCCAGTTATTGTTTTAATGCTATTGAGTTGGTTGAGTTCCTTATATATTTTGGATATTGACTCCTTATCAGATATATCGTTGCAGATATTTTTATTCTGTTGATTGTTTCCTTTGTTATGTAGAAGGTTTTTAGTTTGATGCATTCCCAATTACCTGTTTTTGCTTTTGTTGCCAGTGCTTTTAGGATCATACCCAAACCAGTGTCAAAAAGCTTTTCCCCTGTGTTTTCTTCTAGTTTTATAGTTTCAAGTTTTATGTCTTTAATCTATTTTGAGTTGATTTCTTGATATGGTGTGAGATAATCTTCCAGTTTTGTTCTTCTACATGGGGATATTCAGTTTTTCTCAGCATCATTTATTGAAGAGACTATCTTTTTCCCACTGTGTGTTGTTGGCACCTTTGTCAAAGATGCTTGACTGTAAATGCATAGATTTATGTCTATATTCTGTTCCCTGTATGTCTGTTTTTTATGCCAGTACCATACTGGTTCCATCCTTTCCCCTAGCTTTATTAAGGTATAATTCACAGATAAAATTTGGATATACAGCATGTTTGGTATATATATGTTGTGAAGCTGTTAAGTCGAGCTAATTAAACTGTCCATCACCTCACACCCTTGTCATATTTTTGTGGTAACATTAAGGCCTAATCTCTTAACAGTTTTGAGATAATATACATTATTAACTGTAGTCATCAGGTCATACTCCAGATCCTCAGTACTTACTCATCCTGTCTAACTGAAACCTCATCTGCTTTTACTTCTCCCCATTTTCCATACTTCCTACCAATATCATGCTGTAATTACTGTAGCTTTGTAAAGTATTTTTAATTCAGATAAGATGCTTCTATTTTTGTTTATTTTGCTCAATTCCTTTGTCAGCCAGGCCTGACGGTGCAGGGCTGTAATGCTAGCACTTTGGCAGGCTGAGGCAGGAGGATTGTAAGCTGGATCCCAGCATTTAGTGAGACCCTGTCACAAAATTTTAAAAATGAGCCAAAGATGTAAATCAGTGTGAAGGCCCTGGGTTCACAGTCTCCAGCAGCATAAACAATCATTAAATAAATAAGGCAAACATTTATTTGGCTGTTAAGGGTCTTTTGTGATTCCATGTGAATTTGGGAATTGTTCATAATATTTCTGTGAAAAATACCATCAGAGTTTCAAATAGGGATTACACTGACTCTAAATTGCTTTGGGTGGTATGTATATTTTAACAATATTAAGTCTTAATTCATGAACACAGGATATATTTTCATTTATCTGAGTCTTTTTTTTTTTTTCCATCAATGTTTTATAAAAGTTTTCAGTTTACAGATCTTTAGCTCCTTGGCTAAATTTATTCTTAACTATTTTGTTTTATTGATGCCATAGTAAATGGGATTGTTTTCTTAATTTTTGTTTCAGATAGTTTGTTGTTAATATATAGAAACAACTAATTTTGTATGTTAATTTTATGTTTGCTATTTTATTAAATTCGTTTATTAAATCTAACAGGTCTTTTTGGTTAAATCTTTAGGATTTTCTATATAGGCAATCATGTCATCTACAAACAGACAATTTAATTTACTTTCCAATTTGGATGTCTTTAATTTCTTTTTCTTGCCTAGTTACTATGACTTAGATTTGTAGTAACAGAAGTTTTGAGAATATGCATTCTTGTCTTGTTCCTGATGTTAGAGAAAAGTGCCCAGCCTTTCACAGTGAGTGTGATATAAGCTGTGAGCCCTCACTTTGAACTACCTGCTAGCTCTTTTCTTTTGAGGGGAGGGGCAAGGTCTCCCTAAATTGCTCTAGCTAGACTCAAACTTTCAATTTTCCTGCTTCAGCCTCAGAGAGTGCTGGGATTACATAACCTTTGAATTTTTGTTTTTAAGAAGAGCAAGTTTAAGGCCAGGTGTGCTAGCACATGCCATATAATCCCAGCATTCAGGAGGCTGAGGCAGAAGGATCACCGTGGGTTTGAGGCCAGCCTGGAATACATAGCGAGACCCATTTTAATCTATTCAAAGACTGCACTCACAGATTGGATTAAGAGTCAAATTGCAGGGCTGGGGATTTAGCTCAGTGGTTTCGACACCTGCTAAGCAAGTGCAAGGACCTGAGTTCGATCCCCAATACCAAAACAAAACAAAACATAAACAAGAGTCAAATTGCAATCACAAATTATTTACAAGAGACACTTATAAAATAAAAGCTGTAGGGCTGGGGATTTAGCTCAGTGGTTTCGACACCTGCTAAGCAAGTGCAAGGACCTGAGTTCGATCCCCAATACCAAAACAAAACAAAACATAAACAAGAGTCAAATTGCAATCACAAATTATTTACAAGAGACACTTATAAAATAAAAGCTGTAGGGCTGGGGATTTAGCTCAGTGGTTTTGCTGCCTGCTGCGCAAGCGCAAGAACCCAAGTTCGATTCCCAGTACCCAAAAAAATAAAATAAAAGCTGTAGTTTATCTGCAGTGAGGAGAAAGAGATGAACAAAGATTAAAGAGAAAAACAGGGTTAATAATGTCAATGTGACTTTAAAACATAAACTAGTAAGGGCCAGGGATTTAGCTCAGTGGCACCGGGCCGGGCTGGAAAGCACAGGGTCCTGAGTTTGATCCCCAGTACCACAAAACAAAAAACATAAACTATTAAGAGACACCAAAAATCCCTGGTAAAAGATATGCCAGTGAAATGTGTTTGCCAGGTATCAGAACAGCAAAATATATACAACAAAATGAGAAATTCAAGAAGCAGATATGGAGCAGTTATGAAAAATGTAACTTCTTTGTGACCATCCTGTGATGGTTATATTAACCAAAAGGCAGTAAAAAATGAATAGGTAGAGCAGACAGAAACTGACCACACTCCTGTATAGGGTCACACCCTTTCAAGTGGGAATAGAGTCGGTTATTTTATCACTGAGTGTTGATGTAATAGGACACACTGACCATAAACTCCTTCCAATGGTACTGTTGTACACTGCCACATCCATATGTGCAAGTTCCCTTCACTGCAGACCTTTCCAGCACTTGACAGTGTCACTCTAAAAGTTGGCTGTTCCTGTGGGTTTCAGTGGTAGGAGGTGTGGCTTTAATTTGCATTTCTTTGGAGACACCTGAGGTTGAGCATCTGCTCAGAGGCTTGTTTGGTATGCTCTTGTGTGAAATGCTTTTTTTTTGTTTTTGTTTTTTTGGGTTTTTTTTTGGTACCGGGGATCGAACTCTGGACCTTGTGCTTCCACAGCAGGCGCCAGAACCACTAAGCCAAATCCCCGGCCCTAAAATGCTTTTTTAATGAATGAGTTACTGTGCCATATTTCTATTGGATTATTTGCCTTTTTCTTTTACTGATTTATAAGAATTCTTTATATGTTGGGCATGAGTCCTTTGCTTAATTACAAATTACAAATATCCTCTCCCATTCTGTGGCTTGACTTTTCTCTTTAACTGTGTTTCCTGCTCAACAGAAGTTCTTAATTTTATTATAGTCAAGTTTATCAATGTGTTTACTGATGTGGCCTGTTTAAGAAAGCCTTACCTTCCCTAAGATTCTGAAGATCGCTCTATTGTGTTTTCTTCTAGAAGCTGTGAAAATAAAAATTTCACATTTAGATCATCATCAAGTGGAGGGGATATTAGTGTGTGGAGTGAGGTCTGGGGTATGGGTCATGTTTTATTGTACAGCAGTTCAGTTGCTCCAGTGCCACTGAGTGAAAAACCATCCTTTCCTCTGCCCCACTGTGTCACCTTATCACAACTCAAGTTCCAATTTAGGCATGGGTCCACTTCTTTGTGCTGTTTCACTTGTATACTTGTCTGTCCTTGGGCTGAATTATTACTGATTTACAATAAGGCTTGATATCTGCTACTCTTAAGTTTTCTGGCTTTGTTTGTCTTCAAGTGTATCTGAACTTTCTTGGCTATTTACACTTCCATAAATACTAGAATCGGCTTGTCAGTGTTCATTTTAATTAAAGTTGCATGGCATCTGTAAATTAATTCAGGTCTGCTTATAATTAAGTTATTCAGTCCCTGACCATGGTCTGTTTTTCCAGTTTTAAAAGCTAATTACTTTATTCTCAGTGTTTCAAAACAATAACAGATAGTCTTCCCTCCTATAGTGTAATATAGTCATTCCAACTTCAGAAGCAGAGATGGAAATGGGTATTTGACTAGGCAAAATCAAAATGCTGCCCAATGAAAAGATTAGTGAGATGAGACTCTTCTCTAGAATCTAGTCTTTTGAAATTGAATGCAGGTGAGAAAGAGCCTTGAAGTTCATCTGCCCCACTGACTCAGGTTGTGTCTCTGTGCACTTCATCATTACGAGACCTGCCTCACTGTGACCTCTGAGGTGACCATGCATAGTAAGCAGGTGGTGGCCAGGCCATATCCACAGGGTGATGTCTGGTGACACTTGTGCTCTCCAGGGCAGCCTTTGCTCTGCTCATTAGCTTCTGTTCCTTCCCTGCAGGATTGTCCTTTCATCATCTGTATGACCTATCCCTTCCACACTCCAGATAAACTCTGCTTCATTCTTGACCTGATGAATGGTAAGCAAATCCAAAGTCTGTCCCCTGAAAGGCCTCTATATTAGGTTCCATCTGGGCAGTGAACATCAAAGCTGGTGTTCAGTCCTCTCTGGTGATCAGGCTCTCCCCCTCCCCAACATTTGAGAAAACCTTTTCCCTTCAGTTTTCAGTCAAAATTCATTTTACAACATTGACCATGATTTCCCTCTGGGCCTGCCAGTCTCTCCCTAGGAAGTTGGATTTTCTGGAAAATATTCTCATAAAATACTGTCAGTGAAATTTGATTTTCTGGAATGCAGCTGGTCTAGGTCTTTAAGTAGCTTATTTCCTGACCCTCAATTTTTAGGAATGAAACACCTCCCAAGAACATAGGCCAAAGACACGTGTTTAAAAACCAACTTGGAAGAGTTGACTTTGGCCCAGTACAGATTTTAGCTAAATCCTCTGCACCTTCTGAATCCACGGAATCCTCGGCTCATCTTTCAAACTGAGCAGTGGCCCAGATTGAGCCAAAAATGCCCAACTGGAGAAGTTGCTTTATAATATAAGAAAGTGATACAATGTATATTCAAACTATTTTTAGTAACAAGGGCTGAAATTAAGAGGTAGACAATTCAACCATTCAGATGCTTAGTTTATTTTTTTAAGTTCAGTTGAACCTTTGAGTGTTTTTTTGTTTTTTGTTTTTTGGTACCAGGGATCGAACTCAGGTCCTTGTGCTTGCACAGCAGGTGGCAAAACCACTGAGCTAAATCCCCAGCCCATCTTTTGAGTGTTTGATTTAAAACAGGATTTATCTAAAAACAGGAAGGAATTTCTCAGACATAATCATGATCCAAATCAGCCAGGCACCAGCACAGATCACACATGCTCAAAATATATGGAGAATGTTTACATACAATTTATTATAGTAAAAGATACATTGTCATTCATCCCCCTCAAAACACTTCCCCTCACTTTAAACACACTCAGCTGGGCATGGTGGTGCACACCTATAATGCAGCACTCAGAGGCTGAGGCAGAAGGATCACCATGAGTTTGAGGCCAGCCTGGTCTGCATAGTGAGTTCAAGACCAGCCTAGACTACATAGTGAGACCCTGTCTCAGCAAAACAAAACAAAACACATACCCCATGATTCTTGCCACTTTCTGAAGCAGCTCTACAAGACCTTATTCATGAGTGTCTTTAGGAGATGTGAGTAAAAATTCAGTGAACAGCACTGCTAAGTGCCATCCAGTGGGAAAGCAGGCTCAGAAACATTGCAGTGTGTCTTCATCCACCTTATTCACCAGATCTGGCCCCATGTCACTTCTGAGTCTTCCCCCAAAGTCAAAATGACAATGAAAGAAAAATACTTTGAACTTATTCAGGACTTTGAGGTAGCCACAACAACTCAACTAAAGAGACTCAAAAAAAGATTTGCAGAACTGGTCTAGAAATGGCAAGAACAGTAGAATAAATGTATTTGAAGTAAGGGGGAGCATTTTGAGGGAGATTAATAACAATGTGTCTTTTAGTGTAATAAACTTTTTTGAAATGTAAACATTCTTCGTATTTTTCATACCTTATATTTGCTTAGGACTGGACGGGGCAGAGGGACCAAAGCTGTGGCTGGAGAGGGCCCCGGGGAGCTTTCAGGATACTATAAATTCAGTCTTGAATGAGGACAGAGACGCACTGGTATGTGTTGGGGGAGTGCTGTACCTATCAAGGCCAGGGTGATGAAGTGGAAGACACATTAATTTTATAAATCGAGAGACTTTTCCCTATGGCTTATAAAACTATTCTCTTGCCCTGTTGTTGACAGTATTGCTCCCTGTAACTTGAGTCCACATGATTATTTCCTTTTCCCAACATTGTATTATGAAAAATTTCAAACATGTGGCAAAGTGGAAAGAATTTTACTGGGAACACTCAGACACCCACATCTGGGTTTTACCTGTTCAAATTTTACTGTATTTGCTTTATCAAAAGTTCTCTGGTTGTTTTGTCTGTCTGTAGAGGCAGTCACTAAACTGCCTTGGAATCTCTGCAGAGTTGATTCAGTCATCAAACAGGGTTTAAGTAATCGAAGTAGGTTAGCTAGTCCTGCCTTTGATGGAGTAATGGCAGCTGAGCTGCCAACCCAAGCGCAACTGTGACTTTGCACTGCTGTCTCATGTCACCCATCATTGCATTTAAGTCTTTTGAAGATCACATTTTCTCTGTAACATTTTAAAGTTTTTATCAAACTACAGAAGGCAGAGCAGCATTTGGTTTCTCTGCTAGTGTCCTGACTACTTAGGACGACAGTGATTCTTGTTCCCTTAAAACAAAACACACTGTGAATTAACTTCTGCACCTGATTCCAGGTGGAGATTCGCATTATCACCTCTCACAGCACGGAGTGTTTTCTGAGAAGGAGATGAGGTTTTATGCCACAGAAATTATTCTGGGGCTGGAGCACATGCACAGCCGCTTTGTGGTCTACAGAGACTTGAAGGTGAGGACAGAAGATTTGCTGCTTCTGCATGGTGGGTCCAGATGCTGTACTGATGCCCTCCAAGGTCTCCCCTCCTCTATCTGTGCTGTCCCCTCCCTTATAGCTCCATCCTGTCCCTGACAGAGTCATTCTCTGTGTGATGTTTGTCTCTTTGACTCAGACTCTCCAGGGACAGAATTCATGGCCATCCTCATTGTGTGATCACCTCAGCCCCTGCTCTGGTGCCCAGAATAGCACTTAGGCCAATCAGAAATTTAATAATTAGGGCCGGGGATTTAGCTCAGTGGTTCTGCTGCCTGCCCTACAAGCTGAAGGACCCAAGTTCGATCCCTGGTACCAAAAAAAAAAAAAAAAAAATTTAATAATTAGAAGAAGCAGGGTAGGAATATTTTTGGTGTTGCTCATTATATAATTACTTGTAGTTCAATTAATCTTCACTAAACAACTGATTTGGCTGTGGCTGTTTGTCAGAGATGGAAATATACTAAGATGAACAGGCAGAGAACATACAGTAGTACCTTGGTTCATGAACGCTTTTGTTTGCAAACAGTTTAGTTTGCAAACAAAAGCATTTGGCAAAATTTTATTTTTGTTTGTGAACTCCGCATCGGGTGACAAACACGATTGCAACTATCTTTCTCACAAGAACACAAATGTGGCTCTCTCTTCCAGAATCATGGAATGAATTAAGTTTGTGAACTGAGATACCACTGGGAGGTTTTTTGGGGGGGCGGGGAGTGTTGTTTGTTTGTTTGTTTGTTTGAGATTTATAAGCTGGCTCCTTTAAGGCCAGGCTGGTCAGGATGGGTGAATTTCTGATCAGCCTGCAGAATTTCTCCAAAGACCAGTCTTACAGTTTCCTATTGTGTTGAGATTGCTTTAAAAACCACCAATAGATTTTCAGATTCCTGAACTCTATAACCCCTGATGCTATGCTTGGGTCTCTGCTCTTGTACCAGGACTTAGTCCTATTGCAAGCTTTCCTACTCCAAACCCTGTGCTTGGTCTTGTTTGTCCATGGAGGAAGAAGCCTGTGACTTACTCAGTGTGTCCATGGTGATGCTCAGCAGCCCAAAGTCAGGGATGGCAAGAAAAGGGACCTTAAGAAATACAGATAGGCTTGTACAGATGTGTTAATGTGTAAATGACAGTGAGAAGAAAATTCACAGGAAAAACAGTTTGCCAGAAAAATGAGAAGACACCAGGAGAATGGTGGCAAATATTTGCCTCCTATTTGAGATTCCTGAGACTCAGATCCACAGTGACCAACGCACAGGTTATGTTCCTTTTTCTAAGGAGTTGGGATGTTGATTAGCTTTTTCACTTACCTTCTACCAATCTAAAATGTTATAAATGTACTTTTTGAACATTTTTTCCACAAAATATTTTGTGAATTTTAAAGCTTTCTGCAAAGCTTTTCCTTGTTTTCATGTGTACATAAGTAAAGAAAAATAGTATTTTTATTGAATTAGATATAATTAGATGTCAATTGGCTTATGACATTTTATTTCCTCATGTGGGTTTTACAGAAAATTGCTGCTGAAGGTTCATGAAGTGCTATTCTGATACATTTTAATTTAAACCTATAACCGGTTTCTAATCATCTTTATGCCATATTTTTGTTTTCTAAGGTATTTAGCTGGCTATTATTTAATGCTATTCTTTAATTTCTATTCAAAGTGAATTCTAGTCACTCATGATTATTCATGCTTCAATTTTAAAATAGCATGCCATTATTTTTATTTTAACCAAAACAATAGTTGATCTCCAGCAGAAAAATATTATTAAGATGACAGTAATTCAGTGTACATTAGGGAGAGGAGCTTTGTTTTCCATGATTACACTAAATCTAGTCTTGATACATCTCATCAGAGTGGTGGTGAGAATCATATTTGGTCATTTAGTAGGGCCCTCACTTGATGATATACCAATAAAACAGAAATGACATTTATCAGGATTAGTGTGGCAGTGTGGAACAGTTTGACTTCTTAGGTTAGCATCTGTGTGTTCTTGCAAGGTTTCTTTCTGTTCTGTGCTGTGCAGCTTCATCCTCTAAAGTTTTGATTCACCTAAGCCACACAGAAGGTGGCACTGCTCCCTATTGCCAAGTTACCTGACCTGGCTACCCTGTGGCTCCTGGCATGCAGTTAAGGAGTTGCTTGCTGTTCGCTCTGATGAACTGTGGTCAGAACCTGCCCAGGTCAACTGCCCATGTGTCATTTTTTAAGGCGTAAAGTCTTTCACCTCTTTCACTGCCTTTTCTTTGGTAAAATTAACCTGAGCAGTGTTGTTCTCTGTGCTCTGCCATGCTTCTGTTGGGAACACAGGTATAATTGCATTTTTAGGAACAAACCATGACAAAGTGATATATTAGCAAATGTGGATGCTCTTAGAAGGTCTCCAAGCCCCGTGGCCTGTCGCGACTTCTGATGAGCATCTTCTATTTCCATTTAGCCTGCAAATATCCTCCTGGATGAGCATGGGCATGTCAGGATCTCTGATCTCAGACTGGCCTGTGATTTTTCCAAAAAGAAGCTGCATGCAGGCGTGTAAGTGGCACATCCACTGTATTGGCTACCCTTTCCCTGCTGCAGTTCATTTGTTCCATCAGGCGCTAGCTTAGCCATTGTCTCCCATCCCCTTTCTCCTGCCAACTGTGCTTTTCAGTACCCACTGGTGGGACTGGGTGATAATACCTAGTCAGGGGAGGATCCATCATTGCAGGTTTGGGGTGGAGGTAAGAGTGAGATGCTTCAGGAGCGTGAATTGGCCCACACTGGAACTAGCCTGCTCAGGAAGGGTCTGTGGCAGTGTTGGCAAACCTATGGCACATGTGCTGCAGCAGGCCATGTCATTGAAAGCTCTACAAGGTTGGCGGTCCCTGCTCTGTGGAGAGTCTTCAGGCCTTGGGTAGAGAGCTGAATTCATGCTGCCTGTGAACCTAGGCAGGACAGCTCACCTCTTTGAGCCTCAGTCTCTTCTCTAGAGTAGCGATGATAATAATAAATCTCTTTACATTGTCATAAGGATAAATGCAAGAACCCAAGTGCCAAAAGAGGGGTGCAGGCAGCTGTACAGAACTCTCCAAGGCAGGGTCTAAGGGTCAAGTTTCCCTCTCTATCTGCTTTTTTCTTCTTTTTTAAAAATACTTTTTTTCCTCTGAAGAGAAATCAGGACATTTTCTTTCCTAAATTGAAGAAGCTAATCATCTCTCTGTAGTTCAGGCTTTTAATGTGGGTCATGTTGTTGGATTCAGGTATTTCGCCAGTCCTCCAAGTTACCACATGGGGGTAACTCCTGGTCTGCAGCCTGGGGCCAGCTCCTGGCACATCAGGAACACTGAATTGCTCCTGGTGGTGGCCCTGTTTGGTCCATGCTGGTTGATATGGCCCACGGTTGTCTCCTAACTCAGGAATATGACAGGAGGCATGTTCAGACAGCTCTCTCCTGGTCTACAAACGCAGAATGGAGTCTGCCCTGCTGTTCATTTCTGTTTCTTTGATATCAGTTCATCTGGGTGGAAAGTAGACATTTGTATACCATTTGTGGTAAAGCAGACAAATTCTGCTTTGTCCTTTTAAATGTCACCTTCTTAACACTGCATCTTTTAATATTACATTTTATTGTCCCTCTTGAGCGAACATTGGTCTCTGTTGAATGGTCTCAAGGAAACTCCCTGAGGTCTCATTGCATACCTCCGTGCAGAAAATAAACTACAGACCATCTCTTTGTGTAACTAGAAGTAGTTCTGAATTGCAATCCCTTATGTGGAACTGCATTAAAGCAAAATTGCCCTTTAAAGCTCTGATCAAATGTTAACAATGAATAGTAGCATTTCTATAAACATACTTTTTTTCTACAGAGTGAGGGATATGGCAATAAAAGCATTAGCATTTTGCTAGCATTTTCCACTTATTAGGCTAGAGCCCGTGGTTGTATAAGCTTCTCCCCGGGAGTTCAGCAGATGTTTTTAAGAGTCATTTGAATTTTTAATGCCACAGCTATTTGGTATGCTAATTTCTTCAGTTTACTGTAATCATCACTATGAACCCAAGAGTTCATAAGAGTTAATCTTCCAAAAGAATTAACTTTCAGACATGGAGTTATTTCCTTTTACAGCCCAGCCTACTTTTTGCTCAATTTCATATCATCTCCGAGAAGTGGGCTCTTCTGCCCACCTTGGGAAGCTCGGTGTTTGAATAGCATCTGTGAAAGGGTTGGACCAAGAAGGCTAGTTTGCATGTTAATTGATAAGAGAAATACCATTGCTTTACAAAGCTAAGTGCACAGTGAAATGCTAATCTTTTTTTTTAACCCAGGGCCTTCTCTCTAAGCCTCATCCTCAGCCCTTTTTATTTTTTATTTCAAGACAGGATCTTGAATTTTTTGATGCTCCTGCCTGAGCCTCCCAGAGTGCTGGAATTACCACCGCTTGACATGCAACGTTTTCAAAAGAAGGAGGCTTTTTGTGACTAAGAACAAAGGCTTCAGAGCCACTTGGTCTGGGTTTGAATCTCTTTTCCAGGTTGTCTGAACCTCATTTCTCTCTTCTATAAAGAGGAGAGCACCATGGCATCTCCCTCCTGGGGTGGTGTGAAGTGAGGAGCCCAATAAGTAATTCGGTAAGTATTTCACACTCACTCTGTGCCAGGTACAGCAGTGAGACAGAACTAACTGGTCCCTGACCTGGAACCAGAAGCCCAGGGAACTTTGTTCGTTAAATGACCAGCATGAAGGGAGGGAGTGAAACCAGCAGCATTGGCTGTGTCATCAGTTGGATGCCAGCTGTTCTAGGCCTCGCCAGCTGCTCTGAATATATCTTCATGGAAACCCCATAAATCACGGTTATTGTTACCAACTTTTTGTGGTATGCAAATTGAGGTCCTGAGAAATTAAGTCCCTTGACCAAGGTCATGTGACTGTCCACATTGTGGCTGGAATTACAACCCACCTCTGTCAGATGCCAAAGCCCGTGCTCTTTACATTATATGGGTGAACACCCTGAGGCTTTGAAATCATCTATAGTGCTTGATGCTAGATTAAAGATTTTTGTCCAGTATTTCACCCTGCATTTGATGTCTCAGTTCTATTCAAAGCTGTAGCTGTGATGCTCAGACTTCATCTGCTGGACATTCCATTTTTTGGTTAGTGTTGTGGTTGAAGTTCCTGATCTGAGCTTAGACTTGGTCCATTTAGTGCCAGAGTCAAAAATTATTATAAACTTGATTCATTCAACTGTGGAATGGCCACAAGAATTTTTTATTTTTGAAACAGGGCCTTGTTATGTAGTTTGGGCTGGCCTCAAACTCTGGCAATCCTCCTGCCTCAGCCTCCTGAGTGCTGGGATTATAGGTGTGCACTACCATGCCTGGCCATTAGCCACAAGAATTTAAAGGAAAACTTTTGCAGTTGGACAGATTGTGACTAATTTGGTTCCTAGCTTATTTTATTTAGGAACATAAAGCTGTGTCTCATGTCACAGTGTCTTAAATGTTCAAGTGTTCTTCAGTATTAATAGTAATCCAAATCTTTAGCAAACTGCTACAGAGCATTAGTAGCTGCTGGTAGGCAGAATCAGAAAGGCACAGTGCCGGCAATCCAATGTTTTGCTTTAATTTCATCCAGTGTATACTTAGAGTTGATCTGCATTAACTGTTGTGTTTATTCTTCTAGATGTCTGTCCATTCCAGAGTTGTTATTTGATCGTGAGAATTATGGGCTAAGAGATCACCACAAAGGGCTTTTCCAGGCAACGCTGAAAATTTAAACCTTCCCAGTAAAGGCTTTGGATGCCCTTGTAAAGATCCCTGATAGCATGCTCAGCATGCCTCAGTGATCCTACCCTGGACCTTTCCAAGAGCTGGATCTGCCTTCGTGGCCCAAAGCCCATTGCTACCTTTTACTAAAGCTCTTTCAAAACATCCGTCTTAGACAGGGGCTGCTGGCTCCGTGATGATCTGGGATCCTGAGTAAGCTTCTGAGCAGATCTTTAGCTGTGCCTAAGCATAAATATGTTACAAATGATTATACCAGGTAAGAGAAAAGATTAGATCCCCAACATGGATTGAGCTCTTATTATATTCCAGCACCATTCTTACCCTGTGCTATATCTTCACAGCACCCCTGAGAGGTAGCAGCAGCATCTTATTACCCATTCTATTGATGAGGGAAATTACTGAGGGCTGGAAAGGTTGCAGGGCATACAGAGAATGGATTTTCCAAGGCCACCCTGGGCTGTATCTTGGAGAGCTCCCTAGAGCTCCTCTGGCCTCTCATGATGGAACAGTGTGTGTGCTCAGCTCTTAATGATCTGGTGTAGACAGAGGGGACCATATAAAAATGGGTATCCTCCCAAGAGATTTCTCATCATCCTGCTAATCATCTTCATGTGTGCTTAGTACTGAGTCCTTAGACTTCTAGCAAGTGTTAAAGCCTGATGTAGCATCTCTACCTCATGTCCTTGGTGCTTCTATTCCCCACCCCACCCCAGTCCCCTGGGCCTTTTTTGCCCTGAACAAGCAGCCCTACTGTTGGCACATGTGAGGTCCTCGCATGGCGAGGAGTGGATGTTTCCCTGCCCTCGGGTGTACAGCACTGTACCACAGTCACCTGCCCACTGCCTCTCCTTCCTCCCTGGTCCCCAGGTATCCTGTACCAGAGCCTTTGAAAAGGCAGGAGACCTTTAGCCCTTTGTGATGGGACAAAAGGAGTTAAGGGACTTTGAGATTCAGATTTAACCTCCTGGACTCAGGGACTCCCGTCTGCACATTTACATGCTGGATTAAGTCATTTATGTGAATTTACTCATACTAAATGTGGAGAAGACTGGACATGTGGTGCATAGTGTGTATGGAAGCAGGTGTGCCCTCTCCTTGGTACATAGTCATTGCTCTCTCACACAGCGTCTGTACCTCCTGGTCAACTGTCATTGTACTGTCCTAAGGTGAGCGTGCTCTGATGACCACTTGTCCTGTCTTCTCTGTAGGGGCACCCATGGGTACATGGCTCCTGAGGTGCTGCAGAAGGGGACAGCCTATGATAGCAGTGCCGACTGGTTCTCCCTGGGCTGCATGCTTTTCAAACTTCTGAGGGGGTGAGTGGAACCACCGTGCTGCCAAGTGCTTGGACCAATATCAGTAATGCTTTGGGCTGGGCTATAGCTCAGCGCTAGAGCACTGGCCTACCACACTCAGTGCCCTAAGTCCCATCCCAGCACCAAAGCAGCAGGTATTTAGAGATTACTAGACCCTTATATCTGAAATCACACAGTGATACTCCAGCCATAGGCTGCTCTGAAAGATGCCTAGGCAGCTCTTTGTGCCTTACAACATGAGAGCCGCTTTCCCATAAGCTTCTAGATCAAAGCACAGGAATCCCAGTATGGTTAACCCTAAAGTGAGACTGCTTTGGGATATTTTCATTGATAGGCCATGTTCTGGGAGTAAGTACAGTATTTATTAAAATGTGGATAATTGAATGTGGGGTAATTTTTCTCCCTGCCAATTATTGCTAAGATTCTCTTGCGAGCCAAAAGCATTTTGAGGATTACCCACCAAAAAAGATGAAGAACTAAAATAAACCCACTTTAAAGGTTTGAATTTATTTGTAAACACACTGAAACTAATTCATGTTTTTAAGGTTAATACAGCATTTGACCTGGTTCTAAAGTACTGAAAATGATAAGTTATGGTGAAGATAGGAAAGGAAAACACTCTTAAAATTTGTTCTCATATTGCTCAAGTTGTGATGATGTTTCCATGAATTTTAAGAAGTTTTAGATAATTTTAATGGTAAACTGTTTTAATAGAACTTAAATGTTTTTCATTCTTCTGCACAAGATTCAGAAGGCACTTTACCTTGCAATTTCCCAATCAAGATTTCCCTCATACCATTTCCTCTGTGAACGGTCCTGCCTTGCACTGATTGGTTCTATCTGCATGGCTGATGGAGCCTGGGTGCGTCTTCTGAATCTGTTTAGCATGCTCTGAAGAGAGGCTGATTTCTACACACCTCAAAACCAGGGTCCAAACACTTGCACTGTTTCCTCAGGACACTGATAATCTGTTTGTTCTTTGCTCACCATATTCACTGGAGAGCTAAAATTACCCTATTGCTTAGAAAGTCAGGTCTGTTATTCCATAATCAAATCACTGCATTTGTGGAGCCTGCATGGCTTTAATTCCTGTCCTCAGACTAGGTGACCTGATTGATTAGAGAGTTTATGTAAAATGAACTAGAGCAAGCCATTTCCCCCCTGAGAGCCTTTCTCCCTGATAGTGTCCCTTGTGAGTCCAGGGAGACACCAGTAGTCTTTGGTTTGGTTCCTGCTGGATATGGGGTCAGACATTAAGAATCTGTACCTAACAGAATCTGGGGATGAAGACAGACTGAGCATCACCCAGCCAGTTGAAGGCAACAGTCAGCAGTGAAGTGTAACAGGGCTGCCCACGAAGCCTTGCATTTAGGGTTTTGTTTGCTTCTTTGTTTTGTTCTATTTGTAAAAATGTCAGTGCATATAGATTGGGAAGCATCTGGTATAGTATTACTTTATTTCCTGAATGACTGGAGGGTTTTGTACTTTTGGTCCAATACTGTGATTTGTGTCTAATAAAGTGAATTTACTCATATTTGGCCACAAGTAAGTGAATTTACTCTTACTTGGCCATCAAGTTTGCGATACTACTGAATTAGAAGATATTAGACCCTTATGTGAAGTCCTGGATCAGGCTTGTTGGGAGCATTATGCTCCATGTGGCTCCTATCAAGGGGAGTCTTGGCAGGTAAGAGGACACCAGAGGATGGCCCTAAGGACAGGGTGGGAAGAGTGGTGACTGAGGTAGATATTGGGGCTCCCATGGAAAGGTTGAAAGAGCCAGCCACAGAATTTAGAGACTTGTCGGGAGCAGTGCTACATAATTTTAGGGACAAATCATTTGGTTAGCCTAGTTCTCCTGCCTACAGCCCAGCTATGGAATTCTGAGACCTAATTCCATTTTGGCCTCTGGTCACAACTGAGACCTCAATGATCCGGTGTTGCTGTGATTCTCCAGGACAAGATTACACCAGCTGAAGACATCCTGGGAGGAACAAAATCTTCATCTACTCAGTTCCTCATTGTTCCTGGATTGTCACATCTTGTTTACCTGGATATACTGAACTCTCTGCAAGTCATTTGTTACATTTGTTTCTCCTAAAAGGTGCGTAAGCTGGGGCCTTTTGTTTTTGCTGCCCAGAGCAGCACCGATCAGACCCAAAGCTCAGCTTCTTCTCAAAATCTCATTTTTTTACCTTTCCTGTGATTCACCTTGTACTGCCATGGCTCGCAGGAGACTAGGACTTACTGCAGAGGTTCTAGTTACCTCCCCTTTACCTGTTCCCTACAGACCAGAACAATCAACCCCAGCATTAGAAGGCCATCTTACTGAGGGGATTGTTTTCATGCTGCCCTACTGCAACATGACTGCAGGCATGCTTGGGGGAAGGGGGCTTGCAGTTTGACACAAGAATGTCCATTGAAACATCTGAGCTGCCGAAGAAGGAGCATTCTCTCACAGATAACAAGCTCCCCATTGCTGTCTAGTGACCGTGGATTGAGCCTGAAATGGAAAGCCTGAAATGGCAGAATCCTTCCTGTATATGACAGATATACCCACCAGGATTTATGATCTTACACCGTCCTTTCTATTACTTATTTAAATGACCTGCATGAAAAGGATACAGCACTCAAACCAAAGAGCAGGAAATGTGTTTTGACTTAAGTGATTTAAATAAGTTGATAAACATCTATTGAATACTCAGAATACAGAAGAGGCTGCTGGATGCAGTGGAGGGAGGGAGGGAGGGAGGGGTCCACTCACACAGGACAGGAGCCACATGAGCTGTGCCGTAGGTATGTACGGACAGTGGCCATGTGCTGGGGGCACAGAAATGGGAGCACAATCCAGACGAGTCAGAGCAGGCCCACCTATCATGTGGGAGATGGAGTGCAAAGTGGGCTGTGAAGGACAGACAGGATGACACTACAAAGATGGGGCAGGGCGGCACCAGGTGTATCTATGTGGAGGGGACTCCAAAGGCCAGGCTGCTGTTCTCCTTGGTGTCCAGGGGTTGGTGAGCACCATGTCTCGGGAGGGTGGTTGCTGGGAGGAGGGGAGAAGACTGGGTCAAGGGCACTTGAGGGGCCTTGAATGCCTTTATCTCATGGTCCCAGAGGCTGAGGCTTTCAAGCCAAGGAGTGACGTAGTCATTGGAAGGTTTGCCAGGAAGAGGGCTCTGGTAGCAGTAGGCAGCGTGTTGAAGGAGGGGAAGGCATGGGAACCTTACGAAGGCACATCAGTGCAGGGAGTGGCAGAGGGATGGGTGACAATCAGCACTACAGAGTCAGCATCCCTGGTGCCACAGCCTTTCACAGACACATGGATATGGAAGGAGAGGAGTTGAAGATGATGCCGCTTTAAGTAATTGGGAGGGAGGAGAGTAGTACCATTACCAGAATCAACAGTTATAAAATTGCAGAGGTTCAGAGTAAACTACTGTTGCCCAGGGCCTTTCAGGAGCAGATACCTATGATGGGGCTGGCAGGTGTGGCCATGCAAAGGAGCTTTCATTCTCTGAGCTGTGAATGCAGGAGAATGCCACCTGGTGCCACCTGTCCCACTTCCTAACAAAGATTTGTGTGGAAAACCTCAGCACGGTGTCTAGCAGCACCCTGTGTGTTCATACATCATCTAGAAGGGTGCCAGCCCCAACAGCTGTCCTTTCTATGACACAAGAAACAGAAACGAGTGAAGCAGGAGGCTGAGTG